AAAAGAGGAGCAGAGCTATCAACCGATCACCACCTTGTTGTTGACAAGCAACACTGTGAGAAATAGTACACAAGGCGACGATCTTGTGGCAGAGGCAACCGGAGAATTGGATGGGAAACAGTATCTTCGGTGGATCGAAAGCGAAATTTGCAAACAACATCACACGACGGTTTGAACAGATCCCAGTAATGACAACTGATGTCGAAACCGAGTGGCAGCTGTTTAAGAGCGGCATACTCGAGGCTGCCGCCGAATGCTACAGATTTAAACGGGTTGGTCTGGTGCTTGGAGGTACATCTGGTAGTTGAACTGAAGGTTGCGATCAAAGAGTACCTAAAAACAGAAGAGTCTCTAACTCTAAGGAAAAGCGCGCAGGGCGGCAGCGAAAACAATGGCCAAAGTGAAGGCTGGTTCCTGGGCAGAATTCGATGAGATGGTGGAATTGAATTTCCAAACGACACAAGGTGTTCTGAGAGACATACACGGCCTCTGAGATGGAAAGTAAGGCAGTCTAAGAGTCGTGAAGGATAAGTCTGAATGCCCTCCTACCATACATTCTTCGGTAATGGAGAAAGTTCACTGAGAAACCCAGCAATTGCTGTGACACTCGCCTGAACAACAACGGGGAAGAATACTAGTATTTCTGTAGATGAAGTCACAAGCTGAGTAAGGTGGAAAATCTGCTAAATCGAAGAAATCTGCCCTGAAATGTCTAAAGGATTAAACGAATAAGGCATGTTGTGGCTAAGACGTATCCATCAATTTGCGGCGATTACGGGGGAACACTGCAATAAACTGGAAAACGTTTTGGTGTAGCGCCGTTTAAAATTGGGATTATTGGAAGTTATTCAATCTTCGGTGCATCATTTAATTATGCCTCCCTTTTAAGGTCTATGCGAAAGTGTTAGGAAGGAACAATAGCCAATGTTAAGGTACATAAAGAGCTCTGATCTGATCTTTGACCAGAATTATGCCCTACGCTAGATTGCTCATCCGGTTTATATGCTTTGTGGGCCTAGAGAGTGGCAATGACTGGATCCCGCACAACATTCTGTGGATGTGCCTATAAACATATGGGATCGATAGTCAGCTGCTACGGGCCATCTAATCACTGTATTCTGATAGCAGGTGCTGCATCGGAGTAAATGGCGTTAAGGCGGCACTTTTCATCTTTGGAACTGTTCTCCACCAAGGCTGCGTTCTGTCCCCTCTTCTGTTCGTGTTGCACATGGATAAAGTAGTCAGGCACAGCTAAAGCGATTCCGCGCTTGAAGGACTAATGCCTTCTTCATAATCCAGGGCAGTTTGAACTATTCCTTGCGGTACCCGAGGTAAGCTTTTCGCTGAGGAAATGATAACTTCTTTGAAGTCTTTGTAGGTTTCATCAACGTTACCACTTATCGACTGGGTATTAAGGGCGGCATTAATATAACTCTCTACCTATTTCTAGCAAGCTGACCGCGCCGTTTCGTCATGGTTTCACCTGTCAACACCGAGCAGCTAATGTGTTTCAACCACGACGTCGATGCAGGACGGCTAATTTTAGATGAAGTTCCACTACGACCACATGGTTATAAGATTCAGTGTAGACGCCGCGTCTGACGCGAGTCTCGGGCAACGAACTGTGCCATATGCGGTTGATGAGGTCGTTGCCCAACTAAGTGCTTGGTCCGTCGAGGGCGTCCAGGTAGTTTGTTGAATTCGCTAATGAGGAAAAAGCATTCCATCGACTCATGTTGCACAGTGTATTAACAGACGCCTGCCGTTGTTATTTGCGCTTTGATGCCGTGACGACTGGCCGTATGCTGTGCTCGGAGCCCACCTTCACGCAGAGTTCTCCTGTGACAGTTGAGGCGGTGAGACGCAACGAAGCGCTGACAGCCATTTGCAAGTTGTTATAGCAAGGTCTTCATCGCTGTCGTGCAACACATTTGCCGGCAGTCACATTTAGCATCTCGTGTTTGACATTCACTCGATTTGGTTTGGCATACTCGTGTTCTCTCCGTACAGCTGTTCGATCGAAATCGCCACCAGACTTACTGTACGATACAAGACGATACCGACACCAGCACAGCGTAAACTACTCTGTCCTGATCACTAAAATGACCACCCATCCCGCAGGTGAAGCATCCCTTTCCCAGGTAGACGAGCTTTCGTGACCGCTTGTGCATGGAGTTCGTACCGAGGGGACGGCATCATCGAACTTGAATTCGCCTTGAATTCATTTATCAACGGCCGTTGCAACGTGCTACGCGGAACTAACTTGTTGTAGTGTTAACTGCTGGAACCACAGATTTCTTCATAACTGCCTGGTAAAATGCGAACGTGAACACCGCTGTGCAACTGATTTTCTCGAGAGCAACAAATTCGCCATTGCTTGCCAAAAAACGAACCAAGAAACTGTCCATAGGTGCCATTTTCATTCACCGTCGCATTTCCATAGTCATCTGTAGCAGCTATAGATTGAAACAATGGTGATAAATACCTGGTCAATGCGTCTGTTAAAAAATCTCAATACTCAATTGGCACTGAGGCCAAGAAGCTTGGTGCTCCAAAGGTTCCTATCATGGAGAACCGCCTTGCTCGGTTTTAAAAAGCAGATACGTCTAGAATACAACTCTCTGCTTGCAGCACACTATAAAGGCCAACTAGATGTTTCGAATATGGACAACCTTTTCGAAAAACAATTGGAACATGGTTCAGTGGTGTAGATTACTAGGCTTAATGTTTCCTTGACATGAATAGCCGAATGGAACTAAAGCAGGAAATATGCGAAGAGCATCGAAACATTATGCGTTTAAGTTCTTGGCGTTGTACAAAATGTATATTGGCTGATTTTGTGAAGCTGTACTGTGCAAGCGATTTTCTACATTGCTACTGATTTGTTGAGGGATTAAGTAGAAACGATTCCGCAGTATTATACATCTGCGTTAGATCGCCGGTATACAGAAGGGAACTTTGCTTCTAACATATCATGGTGTCTGAGTCTGGAACCGGTGTGCCTTGTATGACTTGCTTTGTCAACCAGGCCATTGGCAGCGATGAGCAATAACAGCACAATAAAGAACAAGGAAGGTTTCTCGTTGCTGGGACGTTGATGCCCTTATACGTTTATGTTGGATACCATTGGTATCACCCGTTTTCATAGAATTTATCATTGATATCCGTTTCTAGGCTATCAGTCATAAAAGTTCTACTCTAAAGACATTATTCACAACTATGCGATGATCAGTACGCGTGCAGATTCCTGTAAACTGGTACTAGATTCTTTACATTGGAATGGTAAAAATTAGGAGCGAACCCGCGACTTCTTAACTCAAAATTTTGCACTGTACTGCAATTTTTGTTGACCGCTGCATGTAGATATTAATAAAGGGCGCTCTATCTACAGTGAAACTCTCTCCAGCATTATCAATCTCGTAGCAAAGCATTCTGTTCGCAGTTTTACCGCTCTTCATTTGCTCCGTTTCTATTTAATATATATGGTATACATGTTGAAATTTTTGATGAATAAAGCAT